GGGATGGGGGAGGTAGGGTGGTGGGGATAGTGGGGACAGGGGAGGTGGGGACAGTGGGGGATGGTAGAGTGTGGGGAGGTGGAGGGAGAGGGGAGGTGGAGGATGGTGGGGGATGGTAGGAGTGGAGGAGATGGGGAGGTAGAGATGGAGGGATGGTGGAGGATGGTAGGGAGTGTGTAGGATGGAGGGGAGATAGGAGGTGAGGGCAGAGGTGAGGGATGCAGGGGGATGGGGAGGGAGGGATGGTGGGGAGGGGAGGTGAGGATGGTGGGGGATAGGGGAGGTGGGAGGGATGGTGGGGGATGGTAGGGGAGGGGGATAGTGGGGATGGTAGGGAGTGTGGAGGATGGAGAGAGGTGGAGGGATGGTGGGGATGGAGGAGGGTGGTGGGGAGTGTGAGGGATGGTAGGGAGGTGACTGATGGTAGGGGAGGGGAGGGATGGTGGGGGATGGTAGGGGAGGTGAGGGATGGTAGGGAGAGGGATGGTGGGGGATGGTAGGGAGTGTGACGGATGGTAGGGTGTGTGTGGGAGGAATGGTGTTGATGCAGGGAGTGTGTGGGATGGTTGGGAGTGTGTGGGGTGGTTGGGATGGTAGGGAGTGTGTGGGATGGTAGGGAGGCGTGGGGTGGTAGGGGTGTTAGGAGTGTGGGGTGGTTGGATGGTAGGGAGGTTGGTGAGGGAGTGTGTGGGTAGGGAGTGTGTGAGATGGTAGGATGGTAGGGAGTGTGTGGGGTGGTTGGATGGTAGGGGAGTGTGTTGGATGGTAGGGGAGTGTGTGGGGGTAGAGTGTGAGGGGATGGGAGGATGGTAGGGGAGGTGTGTGGGATGTAGGGCGTGTGGGGATGGGCAGGATGGTAGGGAGTGTGTGGGGGGTTGGATGGTAGGGAGTAATGGATGCAGGGCGGGGTAGGGAGTGTGGGATGGGACAGGGAGTGTGTGGGGTGGCTGGATGGTAGGGGAGGTGTGGGATGGTAGGGGAGGCGGGGATGGTAGGGCGTGTGTGGGTGTAGGGCGTGTGTGTGGGATGGTAGGATGGGGAGTGTGTGTGGGGTGAAGGAGTGTGTGGGATGGTAGGGCGTGTGTGGGATGGTAGGATGGTAGGGAGTGTGTGGGGTGAAAGGAGGTGGATGGTAAGGAGCGGTGGATGGTGTAGTATGGTATAGTTCTGCCCTTAAATGAGGTTTCATGGTATGAATGACATTACCTCATCCTAAAGGTCACCGATGACGTCAACAACCACCGCCAGAAAAGGTAATTTTCTTTCTTTTAACAAAATTAATCTGTCATGGGCAGATCCAAATGGTGGCCATGTTGAAGGCGAAATAAAGGTCAATCCACATTTCCCAATCAAGCCATAGAATCGACGATTGAAACAAGATTGATTGTACGGAGGAAAAAACACCGGAGAAGAAAGATTCCCATCGCTTGGCTGTGGAAGGAAAGACGGAGGTATCACTTGGGACTATCCTCGACCGCTCAGACTCCAGGTGTGTTTGTGGGAGAAGGAGCATCCAGTCCTGAGTTACTGGATCAGGCCTTAGTAGCACACACCCAGGCACAAGATCTCGAGAACAACGACCAAAACAGTATCTTAAACGAGAGAGTAGAAGATAGGAGGGGAAGTATGGGGTGGAAGGAAGGGAGGCTGTCAGCTCCATCTATATAGGTAGGGAGAAGAGGAACCTCCTCAGAGACGTGAGCAGGACTCGACAAGGTAGGGATGAATGAATATTTAAATTTGTTTGAAAATTGGATGATTTATTTAAAATATATTATATAATATACGGTAGTACATATATAGTTCTTCCCTTTTATCAGCTTTAGTCCCCTCACAACCTTAATCCGGCCCTAGAAATTGGGTTGCAAAGGAAAGATTTTGCTTAACGAGAAGAGAGTGTGATGCCAGAGATTTTAAGAAAGTGTGAGTTAAGGAGGGTTTCAAAGATTTTAGAAATGGTCTAAACTAAGGCATATCCTCCAAGATGAGAGAAAAAGTAGTGTGGGTTTTTTAGTACAGACGGACAAGAACAGAGGCCAATTCGGAGGCGCATTTCCGGGGAGAGAGATGCTGTTTGTGCCTTAAACCTTGTCTACCCTCGAGGGGTGGGGGGTGGGGGGGCAAAGTACACGGTAGATCTTGTGCGAGGAGGAACTATCGGATGGCATTGATTCAGCAGAAAGCGATGACGGGTGACCAGGAGAGTTAGGGAAAGAAAAGAACACAAGGAGAGGGATCTTCAGTTCACTACAGAGGGACCAGGATGAGGCAGGGGAGGTTAGGGCGAGGTGAGGGAAGATTAGGGCGAGAAGTGAGGTTAGGGCGAGGTAGGGGAGGTTAAGGGAGTAGGGGAGGTTAGGGAAGAGGTAGGGAGTGGGGATGTTAGGAAGAGTAGGGGAGGTAGGGGATGTTAGGGAAGAGGTAGGGGAGGTTAGGGCGAGGTAGGGGAGAGTTAGGGCGAGGTAGGGGAGGTGAGGGCAAGGTAGGGGAGGTTAGGGCGAGGTAGGGAGGTTAAGCAGGTAGAGAGGAGGTGAGGGACCCTGGGGCACCACCGACCCTGGGAGAACCCCTGGCTGCGCTGCTGCAGCTGGGAGGGTCCCAGGAGGCTACAACACCACTAACAAGGCCCTTGAGGGCGCTGCTACCCCTGGCAAGGCCACTGGGGTCGCCACCGCCCTTGGGAAGGCCTTTTGCGGCACCTCTGCTCTTGGGAGGGCCCTTGGGGGCACCGCCACACCTGGGAGTACCGCCGACCCTATGATGGCCCCTATGGGCGCCTGCGCATCTGGGAGGGCCCCTGGGGGTGCCGACGCCCCTAGGAGGACCCCTGGGGAGCCGCCGCCCCTGGGAGGGCTACTGGAAGGGCTCATGGGACAGTCGCCTCCTTTGGGAGAGCAGCTGCCCAATTATTCCACAATCGAGTGGTGGAGCATATATTCGTATTCAGCTCAGAAGTATCTATAACGTGATTTTCAACAAAATCAAATTTTGGGCCAAAACTTTCGAAAATGTAAGCCGGCAGGTGCGGCAGAGCCACCAGGGTCCCTCCTACGGACAGCTGCGCCTTCAGGGACTTTCCCAGAGACAGCAGCGCCCCGAAGGAGTGTCGTATGGCGGTGACCCCAGGGGCGACCCCCTTCCCCAAGGACACTACCAAGGGTCACCAGGGGCCCTTTGGCATGTTTATTCGTTGTACTCATATATATTACATACTTCCAGCAGTCCCTTACTGAACTATGATTGGTTGGACTATTCTTTTAATCCACCAAATTACAGCCAATAGGAGAGGCGAGCAGTCAGTCAGCACAACACCACAACTTATGTTTTCCTGTTGGATATTAGTCTCCGTTACCTTCTCCAGAATGCGAGGATACTGGGAATGTGATGGGCGGTGTATTTATTTAACGTTGCATCTCCCAGAGCTCTAAATAGCGCAAAAACTACTGCACCCACGAGCCCTACAGGTATGGTGCAACTAGGGTCTCGTCTAGGGTGGCGATGCCCCTAGGGGTTCTCCCAGAGGCATTGGGGCCCAAGGGACACCTTTAAGGAAAGCTGCGCTCCCGAGGACCTTCTCAGGGCCCCTCCATAGGGCGGCAGCGCCCCCAGGGATTGTCCCAGAGGTGGTGGCTCCCCAGGGACCAACGAGGGGTGGTGGCGCGTACAGGAACCCTCTCAGGGGCGGCGACGCCCCCAAGGACACTCCCAGTGAGAGCGGCACCCTCAGGGACTTTCCCTGGGACCCTTGCAGTGGCGGCAGCGGCCCCAGCGGCTCTATTAGGGGTAAGCGCCTTTAGAGGTCCTCCCAGTGGTGGTGGCGCCCCCAGGAACCCTCCCCGGGGCGGTGGCAACCTTAGCGCCCTCTCAGGGGTGAATGCTCCCCTCAGTGTCCCCTAGGGGTGGTGGCGTCTCCGTGTACCCTTTCCGGTACGGCAGGGCCCCCAAGGATGCTCCAAGAGGCCCTTTCAAGGGCGGTGGCGCCACCAGGGACCCTCCCAGGGGTGGTGGTATTCCTAGGGACCCTTCCAGGGGCTGCGGGGCCTCAAGGGTCTCTGATAGGGGCGGCGGCACCCCAGGAACTCCCCCACAGAAGGCTGCGTTCCCAGAGACCCTGCCAAGGGCGGCGGAGCCTCCAGGAGCTGTCCCAGTTAAGGCGGCGCCCCCAGGGCCCTCCCAGGTATAGCGGCGCCCCGAAGGACTCTCGCAGGGGCGGAGACGCCCCCAGTGACCATCCCAGGGGCGACCCCATCCTTCCCCCCGCCAGGAACCCTTCCATTTATACCCAGGGGCTCTATGGCAAGCATGTTCATTGTGTCATATATATTACATACTTCCAGCAGTCCCTTACTGAACTATGATTGGTGGACTATTCTCTTAATCCACCAAATTACAGCCAATAGGAGAGGAGAGCAGTCAGTCAGCACAACACCACAACTTATGTTTTCCTGTTGGATATTAGACTCCGTTACCTTCTCCAGAATGCTAGGATACTGGGAATGTGATGGGCGGTGTATTTATTTAACGTTGCATCTCCCAGAGCTCTAAATAGCGCCAAAACTACTGCACCCACGAGCGAAACAGATATGGTGCTACAAGGGTCTCGTCTAGGGTGGCGATGCCCCTAGGGATTCTCCCAGAGGCATTGGGGCCCAAGGGACACCTTCAAGGAAAGCGGCACTCCGGAGGACCTTGTCAGGGACTCTTCATAGGGCGGCGGCGCCCCCAGGGACTGTCCCAGAGGTGGTGACGCCCGAGGGACCAACGAGGGGTGGTGGCGCGTACAGGAACCCTCTCTGGGGCGGCGACGCCCCCAGGGACACTCCCAGTGAGAGCGGCACCCTCTGGGACTTTCCCTGGGACCCTTGCAGTAGCGGCGGCAGCCCCCGCGTTTTTATCAAGGGTGGCGGCGCCCCCAGGGGTCCTCCCAGTGGTGGTGGCGCCCCCAGGAACCCTCCCAGGGGCTAGTGGCGATCTCAGCACTCTCAGGGGTAAATGCGCCTCTAAGGGTCCCCCAGGGGTGGTGGCATCTCCGTTCCCCTTTCCGGTGGGGCGGGGCCCCCAAGGACCCTCCAAGGGGCCTTCTCAAGGGCGGTGGCGCCCCCAGGGACCCTCACTAGGGGTGGTGGTATTCCCAGGGACCGTACTAGGGGCGGCGGCGCTAGCAGGGACCCATCTAGGGGCGGCGGCGATTCCTGGAACTCTGCCAGAGAATGCGGCGCCCTCATGGACCCTCCCAGGAACAGCGGCGCCCCGAAGGACTCTCGCAGGGGCGGAGACGCCCCCAGTGACCATCCCAGGGGCGACCCATCCTTCCCCCCGCCAGGAACCCTACCATTTATACCCAGGGGCTCTATGGCAAGCATGTTCATTGTGTCATAAATATTACATACTTCCAGCAGTCCCTTACTGAACTATGATTGGTGGACTATTCTCTTAATCCACCAAATTACAGCCAATAGGAGAGGAGAGCAGTCAGTCAGCACAACACCACAACTTATGTTTTCCTGTTGGATATTAGTCTCCGTTACCTTCTCCAGAATGCGAGGATACTGGGAATGTGATGGGCGGTGTATTTATTTAACATTGCATCTCCCAGAGCTCTAAATAGCGCCAAAACTACTGCACCCACGAGCCCTACAGGTATGGTGCTACTAGGGTCTCGTCTAGGGTGGCGATGCCCCTAGGGGTTCTCCGAGAGGCATTGGGGCCCAAGGGACACCTTCAAGGAAAGCGACACTCCGGAGGACCTTGTCAGAGACTCTTCATAGTGCAGCGGCGCCCCCAGGGACTGTCCCAGAGGTGGTGGCGCCCGAGGGACCAACGAGGGGTGGTGGCGGGTACAGGAACCCTCTCAGGGGCGGCGACGCCCCCAGGGACACTCCTAGTGAGAGCGGCACCCCCTGGGACTTTCCCTGGGACCCTTGCAGTAGCGGCGGCGGCCCCCGCGGCTTTATCAAGGGTGGCGGCGCCCCCAGGGGTCCTTCCAGTGGTGGTGGCGCCCCCAGGAACCCTCCCAGGGGCTGGTGTCGATCTCAGCACTCTCAGGGGAAAATGCGCTTCTAAGGGTCCCCCAGGGGTGGTGGCGTCTCCGTTCCCCTTTCCGGTGTGGCGGGGCCCCCAAGGACCCTCCAAGGGGCCTTCTCAAGGGCGGTGGCGCCCCCAGGGACCCTCACTAGGGGTGGTGGTATTCCCAGGGACCGTCCTAGGGGCGGCGGCGCTAGCAGGGACCCATCTAGGGGCGGCGGCGATCCCTGGAACTCTGCCAGAGAATGCGGCGCCCTCAGGGACCCTCCCAGGAACAGCGGCGCCCCGAAGGACTCCCGCAGGGGCGGAGACGCCCCCAGTGACCTTCCCAGGGGCGACCCCATCCTTCCCCCCGCAAGGAACCCTACCTAGGATCCCCAGGGGCTCTATGGCATGCTTGTTAGTTGTGTCATAAATATTACATACTTCCAGCAGTCCCTTACTGAACTATGATTGGTGGACTATTCTCTTAATCCACCAAATTACAACCAATAGGAGAGGAGAGCAGCCAGTCAGCACAACCCCTAAAGGGCACCTGGGGGCTCTGACACCCTCGGAGATTCCCCTGGGGCGCCGCACCTGATATGGCAAATGGGAAAGCCCCAGGGATCACTGTCCGTGGAGGGCCCCTGAGAGCAGTTGTTTTTGCATTATTTAGAAAAATGGGAGATATGACGTTAAATAAATACACAGCCCATCGCATTTCCAGTATCATCGCATCATAAACAATGTAAAGCAGAATAAATATCCAACAGTAAAACATAAGTTGGGGTGTTGTGCTGACTGACTGTTCTGTTCTCCTATTGGCTGTTATTTGGTGAATTTACATATTAGCCCACCAATCACAGTAAGGGGTTGCTGAATGTATGCAATATGTACGACACCACTACCATGCAAAGAATAAAGCTCCTGGGAGTAGGCGTCTCTCGTAAGGCTCCTAAATGGCGCCACCACCCATGGAAGGGCCCCTGGGAGCACCGACGCCCCTGGGAGAGGTAGTGGGGGTTGTCACTACACCTGAGAGGGCCCCTGTGGGTGCTGCCACCCCTTTGAGTATCATTTGGGGGCACTGGCGTCATTGGGAGGGCACCTGGGGGCATCGCGACACCTGGAAAGGACCTTGGGGTCGCCTTCGTCCCTGAGAGCACCACCGTTCCTGTGAGGGCCCATAGGGAAACCGCCATCCCTGGAAGGGCCTCCGTTACCCCTGGGAGGGTTTCTGGGGGAGTTGACGCCCATGGCAGGGCCCCTGGGATTGCCGTCCCTGTAAAGGAGGGGGCCTGAGTGCGCTGCCGCCTCTGGAAAGGACCCTGGGGGCGCCACCACCCCCCGAAGGGCACCTGGGTGCACCTACACCTTGGGAGATTCCCCGGGGGCGCCGACACCTTGAAAGATTCCCTGGGGGCACTGCATCTGTCAGGGCAAGTGAGAGAGCCCCAGGGAGCACTGTCCGTTGAGGGTCCCTGAGAGCAGTTGTTTTTGCACTATTTAGAAAAATGGGAGATATGACATTAAATAAATACACCGCCCATCGCATTTCCAGTATCATCTCATCATAAACAATGTAAAGCAGAATAAATATCCAACAGCAAAACATAAGTTGGGGTGTTGTGCTGACTGACTGTTCTGTTCTCCTATTGGCTGTTATTTGGTAGATTTACACATTAGCCCACCAATCACAGCCAGGTAAGGGGTTGCTGGAAGTGTGCAATATTTACGACACCACGACCAAGCAAAGAATAGGGCTTCTGGGAGAAGGCGCCTATTGTAGGGCCCCTGGGAGGGCCCCTGCGAGTAACTACGTCCCTGGGAGAGGTCCTGGGGATATCATTGTCCCTGAGAGGGTCCCTGAGGGCGCTGTCGTCCGTAGGAGGGCATCTAGGGGCACCGCCGCACCTGGAAGGGACCTTGAGATTGCCTTCGTTACTGGGAGCGCCACCGCCCCTGGGAGGGGCCCCTGGGGATGCCGAAATCCCTGGGAGGGCCTCCATTGCCCCTGGTAGGGGTCCCGGGGGCGCTGAGGCACTTGGCAGGGCCCCTGGGGGCGCTGAGGCCTTTGGCAGGGCCCCTGGAGTCGGCGCCCATGCTAAGGAGGGCGACTGGGTGCGCTGCTGCCCCTGGAAGTGACCCTGGGGGCGCTACCACCCCCTAAAGGACACCTGGGGGCGCTGACACCGTGGGAGATTCCCCTGGGGCGCCCAACCTGATACGGCAAATGGGAAAGCCTCAGGGAGCACTGTCCATGGAGGGCCCCTGAGAGCAGTTGTTTTTGCACTATTTAGAAAAATGGGAGATATGACGTTAAATAAATACACAGCCCATCGCATTTCCAGTATCATCGTATCATAAACAATGTAAAGCAGAATAAATATCCAACAGCAAAACATAAGTTGGGGTGTTGTGCTGACTGACTGTTCTGTTCTCCTATTGGCTGTTATTTGGTGGATTTACACATTAGCCCACCAATCACAGCCAAGTAAGGGGTTGCTGGAAGTGTGCAATATTTACGACACCACGACCAAGCAAAGAATAGGGCTCCTGGGAGAAGGCGCCTATTGTAGGGCCCCTGGGATGGCCCCTGCGAGCAACTACGTCCCTGGGAGGGGTCCTGGGGATATCATTGTCCCTGAGAGGGCCCCCTAGACGCGCCGCAGCCCCTGCGGATGGTCTCTGAGGGCGCTGGCGTCCGTAGGAGGGCATCTAGGGGCACCGCCGCACCTGGAAGGGACCTTGAGATCGCCTTCGTTACTGGGAGCGCCACAGCCCCTGGGAGGGGCCCCTGGGGATGCTGAAATCGCTGGGAGGGACTCCGTTACCCCTGGGAGAGCTCCTTGGGGCGCTGAGGCATTTGGCAGGGCCCCAGGGGGCGCTGCGGCGTTTGGCAGGGCCCCGGGCCCCTGGAGTCGGCGTCCAGGCTAAGGAGGGCGACTGGGTGCGCTGCCGCCCCTGGAAGTGACCTTGGGGGCGCTACCACCCCATAAAGGGCACCTGTGGGTGCTGACACCCTGGGAGATTCCCCTGGGGCGCCGCACCTGATACGGCAAATGGGAAAGCCTCAGGGAGCACTGTCACATGGAGGGCCCCTGAGAGCAGTTGTTTTTGCACTATTTAGAAAAATGGGAGATATGACGTTAAATAAATACACAGCCCATCGCATTTCCAGTATCATCGCATCATAAACAATGTAAAGCAGAATAAATATCCAACAGCAAAACATAAGTTGGGGTGTTGTGCTGACTGACTGTTCTCTGCTCCTATTGGCTGTAATTTGGCGGGTTAAAAGAATAGTCCACCAATCACAGCTAAGTAAGGGACTGTTGGAAATATGTAATATTTATGACACATAGGCAATCATGCCATAGGGCCCCTGGGGTCAGCGCCCTCCCTGGAAGGGCTGCTGGTAGCTCCACTGTCCCTGGCCCGGCCCCTCGGAACGCTCCCCCTAGGACGGCCCTGGTTGCAGTAGTTTTTACTCTATTTAGAGCTCTGGGAGAAGCAACGTTCAGTGAATACACCGCCGCCCATCACATTTCCAGTATAATCGCATTCTGAACAAGGTAATGGAGAATAATATCCAACAGGAAAACATAAGCTGGGGTGTTGTGCTGACTGACTGTTCTCTGCTCCTATTGGCTACAATTTGGCGGGTTAATTGAATAGTCCACCAATCACAGTTAAGTAAGGGACTTTGGAAGAATGTAATATTTATGACACGTCGGACAAGCATGCCATAGGGCCCTGGGAGGGCACCTGGGAACTCTGTTGTCCTTGTGAGAGCCCCTAGGGTTGCCACCGTCCCTGGCACGGCCCCTGGGAGCGCTCACGTCCTGGGAGGGCCCATGGTTGCTGTAGTTTTGGCACTATTTAGAGCTCTGGGAGAAGCAACGTTCAGTGAATACACCCCCGCCCATCACATTTCCAGTATAATCGCATTCTGAACAAGGTAATGGAGAATAATATCCAACAGGAAAACATAAGTTGGGGTGTTGTGCTGACTGACTGTTCTCTGCTCCTATTGGCTGTAATTTGGCGGGTTAAAAGAATAGTCCACCAATCACAGCTAAGTAAGGGACTGTTGGAAATATGTAATATTTATGACACATAGGCAATCATGCCATAGGGCCCCTGGGGTCAGCGCCCTCCCTGGAAGGGCTGCTGGTAGCTCCACTGTCCCTGGCCCGGCCCCTCGGAACGCTCCCGTCCCTAGGACGGCCCTGGTTGCAGTAGTTTTTACTCTATTTAGAGCTCTGGGAGAAGCAACGTTCAGTGAATACACCGCCGCCCATCACATTTCCAGTATAATCGCATTCTGAACAAGGTAATGGAGAATAATATCCAACAGGAAAACATAAGTTGGGGTGTTGTGCTGACTGACTGTTCTCTGCTCCTATTGGCTGTAATTTGGCGGGTAAAAAGAATAGTCCACCAATCACAGTTAAGTAAGGGACTTTGGAAGAATGTAATATTTATGACACGTCGGACAAGCATACCATAGGGCCCTGGGAGGGCACCTGGGAACTCTGTTGTCCTTGTGAGAGCCCCTAGGGTTGCCACCGTCCCTGGCACGGCCCCTGGGAGCGCTCACGTCCCTGGGAGGGCCCATGGTTGCTGTAGTTTTGGCACTATTTAGAGCTCTGGGAGAAGCAACGTTCAGTACACCCCCGCCCATCACATTTCCAGTATAATCGCATTCTGAACAAGGTAATGGAGAATAATATCCAACAGGAAAACATAAGTTGGGGTGTTGTGCTGACTGACTGTTCTCTGCTCCTATTGGCTGTAATTTGGCGGGTTAAAAGAATAGTCCACCAATCACAGCTAAGTAAGGGACTGTTGGAAATATGTAATATTTATGACACATAGGCAATCATGCCATAGGGCCCCTGGGGTCAGCGCCCTCCCTGGAAGGGCTGCTGGTAGCTCCACTGTCCCTGGCCCGGCCCCTCGGAACGCTCCCGTCCCTAGGACGGCCCTGGTTGCAGTAGTTTTTACTCTATTTAGAGCTCTGGGAGAAGCAACGTTCAGTGAATACACCGCCGCCCATCACATTTCCAGTATAATCGCATTCTGAACAAGGTAATGGAGAATAATATCCAACAGGAAAACATAAGCTGGGGTGTTGTGCTGACTGACTGTTCTCTGCTCCTATTGGCTACAATTTGGCGGGTTAATTGAATAGTCCACCAATCACAGTTAAGTAAGGGACTTTGGAAGAATGTAATATTTATGACACGTCGGACAAGCATGCCATAGGGCCCTGGGAGGGCACCTGGGAACTCTGTTGTCCTTGTGAGAGCCCCTAGGGTTGCCACCGTCCCTGGCACGGCCTCTGGGAGCGCTCACGTTCCTGGGAGGGCCCATGGTTGCTGTAGTTTTGGCACTATTTAGAGCTCTGGGAGAAGCAACGTTCAGTGAATACACCCCCGCCCATCACATTTCCAGTATAATCGCATTCTGAACAAGGTAATGGAGAATAATATCCAACAGGAAAACATAAGTTGGGGTGTTGTGCTGACTGACTGTTCTCTGCTCCTATTGGCTGTAATTTGGCGGGTTAAAAGAATAGTCCACCAATCACAGCTAAGTAAGGGACTGTTGGAAATATGTAATATTTATGACACATAGGCAATCATGCCATAGGGCCCCTGGGGTCAGCGCCCTCCCTGGAAGGGCTGCTGGTAGCTCCACTGTCCCTGGCCCGGCCCCTCGGAACGCTCCCGTCCCTAGGACGGCCCTGGTTGCAGTAGTTTTTACTCTATTTAGAGCTCTGGGAGAAGCAACGTTCAGTGAATACACCGCCGCCCATCACATTTCCAGTATAATCGCATTCTGAACAAGGTAATGGAGAATAATATCCAACAGGAAAACATAAGTTGGGGTGTTGTGCTGACTGACTGTTCTCTGCTCCTATTGGCTGTAATTTGGCGGGTTAAAATAATAGTCCACCAATCACAGCTAAGTAAGGGACTGTTGGAAATATGTAATATTTATGACACATAGGCAATCATGCCATAGGGCCCCTGGGGTCAGCGCCCTCCCTGGAAGGGCTGCTGGTAGCTCCACTGTCCCTGGCCCGGCCCCTCGGAACGCTCCCGTCCCTAGGACGGCCCTGGTTGCAGTAGTTTTTACTCTATTTAGAGCTCTGGGAGAAGCAACGTTCAGTGAATACACCGCCGCCCATCACATTTCCAGTATAATCGCATTCTGAACAAGGTAATGGAGTATAATATCCAACAGGAAAACATAAGCTGGGGTGTTGTACTGACTGACTGTTCTCTGCTCCTATTGGCTACAATTTGGCGGGTTAATTGAATAGTCCACCAATCACAGTTAAGTAAGGGACTTTGGAAGAATGTAATATTTATGACACGTCGGACAAGCATGCCATAGGGCCCTGGGAGGGCACCTGGGAACTCTGTTGTCCTTGTGAGAGCCCCTAGGGTTGCCACCGTCCCTGGCACGGCCCCTGGGAGCGCTCACGTCCCTGGGAGCGCTCACGTCCCTGGGAGGGCCCATGGTTGCTGTAGTTTTGGCACTATTTAGAGCTCTGGGAGAAGCAACGTTCAGTGAATACACCCCCGCCCATCACATTTCCAGTATAATCCCATTCTGAACAAGGTAATGGAGAATAATATCCAACAGGAAAACATAAGTTAGGGTGTTGTGCTGACTGACTGTTCTCTGCTCCTATTGGCTGTAATTTGGCGGGTTAAAAGAATAGTCCACCAATCATAGTTAAGTAAGGACATTTGGAAATATGTAATATTTATTACATAGGCAATCATGCCATAGGGCCCCTAAGGTCAGCGCCCTCCTGGAAGGGAGCACTGGCTCGCTCCACTGCCCCTGGCACGGTCCCTGGGGGCGCTCCCATCACAAGGACGGCCCCTGGTTGCAGTAATTTTTGCGCTATTTAGAGCTCTGGGAGAAGCAACGTTAAACAAATACACAGCCGTCCATCACATTTCAAGTATCATCGCGTTCTGAAGAAGGTAATGGAGAATAATATCCAACAGGAAAACATAAGTTGGGGTGTTGTGCTGACTGACTGTTCTCTGCTCCTATTGGCTGTAATCTGGCGGGTTAAGAGAATAGTCCACCAATCACAGTTAAGTAAGGGACTGCTGGAAGTATGTAATATATATGACAGATGGACAAGCATACCATAGGTCCCTGGGAGGGCACCTGGGAACTCTGTTGTCCTTGTGAGAGCCCCTAGGGTTGCCACCGTCCCTGGCACGGCCCCTGGGAGCGCTCACGTCCCTGGGAGGGCCCATGGTTGCTGTAGTTTTGGCACTATTTAGAGCTCTGGGGAACGCGTTCAGTGAATACGCCGCCCATCACATTTCCGTATAATCGCATTCTGAACAAGGTAATGGAGAATAATATCCAACAGGAAAACATAAGCTGGGGTGTTGTGCTGACTGACTGTTCTCTGCTCCTATTGGCTACAATTTGGCGGGTTAATTGAATAGTCCACCAATCACAGTTAAGTAAGGGACTTTGGAAGAATGTAATATTTATGACACGTCGACAAGCATACCATAGGTCCCTGGGAGGGCACCTGGGAACTCTGTTGTCCTTGTGAGAGCCCCTAGGGTTGCCACCGTCCCTGGCACGGCCCCTGGGAGCGCTCACGTCCCTGGGAGGGCCCATGGTTGCTGTAGTTTTGGCACTATTGAAACTCTGGGAGAAGCAACGTTCGAGTGAATACACGCCGCCCATCACATTTCCAGTATAATCGCATTCTGAACAAGGTAATGGAGAATAATATCCAACAGGAAAACATAAGTTGGGGTGTTGTGCTGACTGACTGTTCTGTGCTCCTATTGGCTGTAATTTGGCGGGTTAAAATAATAGTCCACCAATCACAGCTAAGTAAGGGACTGTTGGAAATATGTAATATTTATGACACATAGGCACTCATGCCATAGGGCCCCTGGGGTCAGCGCCCTCCCTGGAACGGCTGCTGGTAGCTCCACTGTCCCTGGCCCGGCCCCTCGGAACGCTCCCGTCCCTAGGACGGCCCTGGTTGCAGTAGTTTTACTCTATTTAGAGCTCTGGGAGAAGCAACGTTCAGTGAATACACCGCCGCCCATCACATTTCCAGTATAATCGCATTCTGAACAAGGTAATGGAGAATAATATCCAACAGGAAAACATAAGTTGGGGTGTTGTGCTGACTGACTGTTCTGTGCTCCTATTGGCTGTAATTTGGCGGGTTAAAATAATAGTCCACCAATCACAGCTAAGTAAGGGACTGTTGGAAATATGTAATATTTATGACACATAGGCACTCATGCCATAGGGCCCCTGGGGTCAGCGCCCTCCCTGGAACGGCTGCTGGTAGCTCCACTGTCCCTGGCCCGGCCCCTCGGAACGCTCCCGTCCCTAGGACGGCCCTGGTTGCAGTAGTTTTACTCTATTTAGAGCTCTGGGAGAAGCAACGTTCAGTGAATACACCGCCGCCCATCACATTTCCAGTATAATCGCATTCTGAACAAGGTAATGGAGAATAATATCCAACAGGAAAACATAAGCTGGGGTGTTGTGCTGACTGACTGTTCTCTGCTCCTATTGGCTACAATTTGGCGGGTTAATTGAATAGTCCACCAATCACAGTTAAGTAAGGGACTTTGGAAGAATGTAATATTTATGACACGTCGACAAGCATACCATAGGGCCCTGGGAGGGCACCTGGGAACTCTGTTGTCCTTGTGAGAGCCCCTAGGGTTGCCACCGTCCCTGGCACGGCCCCTGGGAGCGCTCACGTCCCTGGGAGGGCCCATGGTTGCTGTAGTTTTGGCATTATTTAGAGCTCTGGGAGAAGCAACGTTCAGTGAATACACCCCCGCCCATCACATTTCCAGTATAATCGCATTCTGAACAAGGTAATGGAGAATAATATCCAACAGGAAAACATAAGTTGGGGTGTTGTGCTGACTGACTGCTCTCTTCTCCTATTGGCTGTAATTTGGCGGGTTAAAAGAATAGTCCACCAATCACAGTTAAGCATGGGTCTGCTGGAAGTATGAAATAGCCCCATGACACACCAGAGCAATCATGCCATACAGGCCCCACAGGGTCAGCACCCTCCCTGGAAGGGCCTGCTTTAGTAACTCCACTGTCCCTGGCCCGGCCCTCGGAACGCTCCCGTCCCTAGGACAGCTGAATTCTGATAGTTTTTACTCTATTTAGAGCTCTGGGAGCTTAGCGTTCAGTGAATACTGCCCGCCCATCACATTTCAGTATAATGCATTCTGAACAAGGTAATGGAGAATAATATCCAACAGGAAAACATAAGTTGGGGTGTTGTGCTTTGACTGACTGTTCTCTGCTCCTATTGGCGTATAATTTGGCGGGTAAAAGATAGTCCGCAATCACAGTTAAGTAAGGGACTTTTTGGTAGAATATAATATTTATGACACGTGGGACAAGCATACCCATAGGGCCCCTGGGAGACACCTGGGAACTCTGTTGTCCTTGAGCCTAGGGTTGCCACCGTCCCTGGCACGGCCCCTGGGAGCGCTCACGTCCCTGGGAGGGCCCATAGTTGCTGTAGTTTTGGCACTATTTAGAGCTCTGGGAGAAGCAACGTTTCAGTGAATACACCCTCGCCCATCACATTTCCAGTATAATCGCATTCTGAACAAGGTAATGGAGAATAATATCCAACAGGAAAACATAAGCTGGGGTGTTGTGCTGACTAACTGTTCTCTGCTCCTATTGGCTACAATTTGGCGGGTTAATTGAATAGTCCACCAATCACCGTTAAGTAAGGGACTTTGGAAGAATGTAATATTTATGACACGTCGGACAAGCATGCCATAGGGCCCTGGGAGGGCACCTGGGAACTCTGTTGTCCTTGTGAGAGCCCCTAGGGTTGCCACCGTCCCTGGCACGGCCCCTGGGAGCGCTCACGTCCCTGGGAGGGCCCATAGTTGCTGTAGTTTTGGCACTATTTAGAGCTCTGGGAGAAGCAACGTTTCAGTGAATACACCCCCGCCCATCACATTTCCAGTATAATCGCATTCTGAACAAGGTAATGGAGAATAATATCCAACAGGAAAACATAAGTTGGGGTGTTGTGCTGACTGACTGTTCTCTGCTCCTATTGGCTGTAATTTGGCGGGTTAAAAGAATAGTCCACCAATCACAGCTAAGTAAGGGACTGTTGGAAATATGTAATATTTATGACACATAGGCAATCATGCCATAGGGCCCCTGGGGTCAGCGCCCTCCCTGGAAGGGCTGGTGGTAGCTCCACTGTCCTGGCGGCCCCTCGGAACGCTCCCGTCCCTAGGACGGCCCTGGTTGCAATAGTTTTTACTCTATTTAGAGCTCTGGAGAAGCAACGTTCAGTGAATACACGCCACCCATCACATTTCCAGTATAATCGCATTCTGAACAAGGTAATGGAGAATAATATCCAACAGGAAAACATAAGTTGGGGTGTTGTGCTGACTGACTGTTCTCTGCTCCTATTGGCTGTAATTTGGCGGGTAAAAAGAATAGTCCACCAATCACAGTTAAGTAAGGGACTTTGGAAGAATGTAATATTTATGACACGTCGGAGAAGCATACCATAGGGCCCTGGGAGGGCACCTGGGAACTCTGTTGTCCTTGTGAGAGCCCCTAGGGTTGCCACCGTCCCTGGCACGGCCCCTGGGAGCGCTCACGTCCCTGGGAGGGCCCATGGTTGCTGTAGTTTTGGCACTATTTAGAGCTCTGGGAGAAGCAACGTTCAGTGAATACACCCCCGCCCATCACATTTCCAGTATAATCGCATTCTGAACAAGGTAATGGAGAATAATATCCAACAGGAAAACATAAGTTAGGGTGTTGTGCTGACTGACTGTTCTCTGCTCCTATTGGCTGTAATTTGGCGGGTTAAAAGAATAGTCCACCAATCACAGCTAAGTAAGGGACTGTTGGAAATATGTAATATTTATGACACATAGGCAATCATGCCATAGGGCCCCTGGGGTCAGCGCCCTCCCTGGAAGGGCTGCTGGTAGCTCCACTGTCCCTGGCCCGGCCCCTCGGAACGCTCCCGTCCCTAGGACGGCCCTGGTTGCAGTAGTTTTTACTCTATTTAGAGCTCTGGGAGAAGCAACGTTCAGTGAATACACCGCCGCCCATCACATTTCCAGTATAATCGCATTCTGAACAAGGTAATGGAGAATAATATCCAACAGGAAAACATAAGCTGGGGTGTTGTGCTGACTGACTGTTCTCTGCTCCTATTGGCTACAATTTGGCGGGTTAATTGAATAGTCCACCAATCACAGTTAAGTAAGGGACTTTGGAAGAATGTAATATTTATGACACGTCGGACAAGCATGCCATAGGGCCCTGGGAGGGCACCTGGGAACTCTGTTGTCCTTGTGAGAGCCCCTAGGGTTGCCACCGTCCCTGGCACGGCCTCTGGGAGCGCTCACGTTCCTGGGAGGGCCCATGGTTGCTGTAGTTTTGGCACTATTTAGAGCTCTGGGAGAAGCAACGTTCAGTGAATACACCCCCGCCCATCACATTTCCAGTATAATCGCATTCTGAACAAGGTAATGGAGAATAATATCCAACAGGAAAACATAAGCTGGGGTGTTGTGCTGACTGACTGTTCTCTGCTCCTATTGGCTGTTATTTGGTGAATTTACATATTAGCCCACCAATCACAGTAAGGGGTTGCTGAATGTATGCAATATGTACGACACCACTACCATGCAAAGAATAAAGCTCCTGGGAGTAGGCGTCTCTCGTAAGGCTCCTAAATGGTGCCACCACCCATGGAAGGGCCCCTGGGAGCACCGACGCCCCTGGGAGAGGTAGTGGGGGTTGTCACTACACCTGAGAGGGCCCCTGTGGGTGCTGCCACCCCTTTGAGTATCATTTGGGGGCACTGGCGTCATTGGGAGGGCACCTGGGGGCATCGCCACACCTGGAAAGGACCTTGGGGTCGCCTTCGTCCCTGAGAGCACCACCGTTCCTGTGAGGGCCCATAGGGAAACCGCCATCCCTGGAAGGGCCTCCGTTACCCCTGGGAGGGTTTCTGGGGGAGTTGACGCCCATGGCAGGGCCCCTGGGATTGCCGTCCCTGTAAAGGAGGGGGCCTGAGTGCGCTGCCGCCTCTGGAAAGGACCCTGGGGGCGCCACCACCCCCCGAAGGGCACCTGGGTGCACCTACACCTTGGGAGATTCCCCGGGGGCGCCGACACCTTGAAAGATTCCCTGGGGGCACTGCATCTGTCAGGGCAAGTGAGAGAGCCCCAGGGAGCACTGTCCGTTGAGGGTCCCTGAGAGCAGTTGTTTTTGCACTATTTAGAAAAATGGGAGATATGACATTAAATAAATACACAGCCCATCGCATTTCCAGTATCATCGCATCATAAACAATGTAAAGCAGAATAAATATCCAACAGCAAAACATAAGTTGGGGTGTTGTGCTGACTGACTGTTCTGTTCTCCTATTGGCTGTTATTTGGTGGATTTACACATAAGCCCACCAATCACAGCCAAGTAAGGGGTTGCTGGAAGTGTGCAATATTTACGACACCACGACCATGCAAAGAATAGGGCTCCTGGGAGAAGGCGCCTATTGTAGGGCCCCTGGGATGGCCCCTGCGAGCAACTACGTCCCTGGGAGGGGTCCTGGGGATATCATTGTCCCTGAGAGGGCCCCCTAGACGCGCCGCAGCCCCTGCGGATGGTCTCTGAGGGCGCTGGCGTCCGTAGGAGGGCACCGCCGCACCTGGAAGGGACCTTGAGATCGCCTTCGTTACTGGGAGCGTCACCGCCCCTGGGAGGGGCCCCTTGGGATGCCAAAATCCCTGGGAGGGCCTCCATTGCCCCTGGGAGGGCTCCTGGGGGCGCTGAGGCACATGGCAGGGCCCCTGGGGGCGCTGAGGTCTTTGGCAGGGCCCCTGGAGTCGGCGCCCATGCTAAGGAGGGCGACTGGGTGCGCTGCCGCCCCTGGAAGTGACCCTGGGGACGCTACCAACCCCTAAAGGGCACCTGGGGGCTCTGACACCCTCGGAGATTCCCCTGGGGCGCCGCACCTGATACGGCAAATGGGAAAGCCTCAGGGAGCACTGTTCATGGAGGGCCCCTGAGAGCAGTTGTTTTTGCACTATTTAGAAAAATGGGAGATATGACGTTAAATAAATACACAGCCCATCGCATTTCCAGTATCATCGCATCATAAACAATGTAAAGCAGAATAAATATCCAACAGCAAAACATATGTTGGGGTCCTTCCAGTGGTGGTGGCGCCCCCAGGAACCCTCCCAGGGGCTGGTGTCGATCTCAGCACTCTTAGGGGAAAATGCGCTTCTAAGGGTCCCCCAGGGGTGGTGGCGTCTCCATTCCCCTTTCCGGTGTGGCAGGGCCCCCAAGGACCCTCCAAGGGGCCTTCTCAAGGGCGGTGGCGCCCCCAGGGACCCTCACTAGGGGTGGTGGTATTCCCAGGGACCGTCCTAGGGGCGGCGGCGCTAGCAGGGACCCATCTAGGGGCGGTGGCGATCCCTGGAACTCTGCCAGAGAATGCGGCGCCCTCAGGGACCCTCCCAGGAACAGCGGCGCCCCGAAGGACTCTCGCAGGGGCGGAGACGCCCCCAGTGACCTTCCCAGGGGCGACCCCATCCTTCCCCCCGCAAGGAACCCTACCTAGGATCCCCAGGGGCTCTATGGCATGCTTGTTAGTTGTGTCATAAATCTTACATACTTCCAGCAGTCCCTTACTGAACAATGATTGGTGGACTATTCTCTTAATCCACCAAATTTCAGCCAATAGGAGAGGAGAACAGTCAGTCAGCACAACACCACAACTTATGTTTTCCTGTTGGATATTAGTCTCCGTTACCTTCTCCAGAATGCTAGGATACTGGGAATGTGATGGGCGGTGTATTTATTTAACGTTGCATCTCCCAGAGCTCTAAATAGCGCCAAAACTACTGCACCCACGAGCCAAACAGATATGGTGCTACAAGGGTCTCGTCTAGGGTGGCGATGCCCCTAGGGGCTCTCCCAGAGGTGTTGGGGCCCAAGGGACCAACGAAGTGTGGTGGCACGTACAGGAACCCTCTCAGGGGCGGCGACCCCGCCAGGGACACCCCCAGTGAGAGCGGCACCCCCAGGGACTTTCCCTGCGACCCTTGCAGTGGCGGCAGCGGCCCCAGCGGCTCTATCAGGGGTGGCAGCGCCCCTATGGGTCCTCCCAGTAGTGGTGGCGCCCCCAGGAACCCTCACAGGGGCGGTGGCGAACTCAGCGCCCTCTCAGGGGCAAATGTGCCCCTAAGGGTCCCCCAGGAGTGGTGGCGTCTCCGTGTACCCTTTCCGGTACCCTCCAAGAGGCCCTCTCAAGGGCGGTGGCGCCACCTTGGACCCTCCCAGGGGTGGCGGTATTCCCAGGGACCCTCCCACGTGCTGCGGCGCCTCCAGGGACCCTGATAGGGGCGGCGGCACCCCAGGAACTCCCCCACAAAAGGCTGCGCCCCCAAGGAACGTACCAGGAGCGGCGGCGCTCCCAGTGACCCATCTAGGGATGGCGGCGACCCCTGGAAATCTTCCAGAGAATGCGGCGCCCTCAGGAATCCTCCCAGGAACAGCGGCGCCCGGAAGGACTCTCGCAGGGGCAGAGACGCCCCCAGTGACCCTCCCAGGGGAGGCGAGACCTCCATGGACCCTCCCAGGTGCGGCGGCGCTCCTATAGATCCTCACAGGAACGGCAGTGATCCCACGGGCCCTGCTTGGGACGGCGGCACCCCCAGGGAACCTTCCATAGACGGTGGCACCCCCAGGAACTCTCCCAGGGAAGGCGGCGCCCCCAGGTACCCTACCAGGGACAGCGGCGCCCCGAAGGACTCTTGGATAAAGACTGGTGTATATAGCCCCCAAAAAAGGTTAAAACAAAAACAAATATAATCATGTAAATTTTGCTATCTGATTCGACTGATAATTTTACTTGACATTTCAAATACATTTTCATCTCTGCAGATCTTTGTTTTTAGGCCAGATCCTCAGATCCTGGAAAGATATTATTCATTAGCATAAAAATATATTATTGATGGCACATGGATATCTGGACTCTTAGTTAGGGTATTGATTAAAACAAAAGAAAAACAAAAGAAAATAATCCAATCAACTTTACTTAATTTTAGTCAGCCCCTAACAGGAAATATTTCATTTATTTTTTAGGCCTAATGTCTAATGGCATGACATCTTGGCAGTATCATGGTTAATGTTAAAAGGCTCGAGTATTACCAGGCAGCATGGTGGATAATATCGAATCTGTGGATCTTGGCTTGGATAGCGTCGGGGATGGTGTGACCGGCCGGCTGGTAGGTGGATATTGGGGGCGAGCGGTGATGGGTGGGCGGCGAGCGGTGATGGGTGGGCGGCGAGCGGGGCTGGAGGAACCTTAGCTCTGGTCTTTACTCTCTCGAAGCTCACAATTCACATCCTCTTATGCCGCCGCACTCTGGGGTGGGGGGTGGTAATGGGTCGATAGGAGAGTGCAGGAGCCGAGAGAGGTGTTGGGGGAGGGTGGCTGTAGAAGTAACGAAATGGGTGGCGGGAATATTGGGAAGGTAGAAAGTGGCATCGAGGTAGAGAAAGGCCAGAGTTAAGGAGGTCGAAAGGGGCGGCGTAGAAGTAAAAAAGAGGAGTGAGAGGATACACGGTGAGTCATACATCTATCAGTGTTGATGATACTTTTCAATGGAATATTTCATGGTTGTGTTGTTAGTGGAGTCAAAACCTGCCCCGTATCAGTGTATGACTGTCTAAACTTTTAATTTTTAACTCCAAACACAATAATACAGGTTTGGGAATGAGTGAGAAGAATAAAGTCGGGGCTGACAACAGTTAAGCGGCCTCTACCAAGTCATTTAAAATTCATATATGTATCGCCAAGCTCCAGAACGTTTCGATTCCCGGAATATTTGACTCGTGATCACCAGCTCTCACGATCGGTGTAGGTTTACTGAGACCCGCTCACTCGATCAATACTTCCCGTGGCCAGAGCACAAAAGTTTTGAACCAGTGGATTTACCATATTTTTTTTGCTATGATCTAAACATCTTGATAAACAAACACATATTCCTCTACAATGTAAACTTCAAAGGGACTAAATCAGGGTAATAAAATCCAACATAACATGAATCAATAGATCCAGATACTGAAACAGTTTATTTAATGAGAAAAATACAGGTACAGAGTGGATAAAAATAACAATATTAACATGACTGATCCAGTTGCCCCTTGAAGGCACCTGATATATAATGTACATTTATCTCAAGGAAGTATCATGTAACAGTATCATTTGGAACAGTATACATAACTAGGATTCAGCTTCTCATTCATGTTCTTGTTAACACAGTAATGACTATTATCACACAAGTGGCTTAGTGAGCTCACGTATTCAGGGTAAAGCAGACATTTTTTTTGCCCCATCTCTCGCTTCAGTGTTCCAATTCCCTAGACCAGGGGTCACCAAACTTTTTTCACAGTGGGCCGGATAACTGAAAGAATGACGAGCGCGGGCCGCATAATCATTCTGTTCAATACTTGCAAGCCAGAACGAAAGCCACGGAAACCATGGTAACGTCAGAACGTAGGCGGAGCTACCACGGCGGGCCTGATGAACTGACGTCGCGGGCCGGATCCGGCCCGCGGGCCGTAGTTTGGTGACCCCTACCCTAGACGATGATTCGTTTAGGGACACATAATGAAGCATGTGTCGGTGATTCTATTCGTTGTCTCGGATCTTTTCTGGTCTTTCCTCGACTCTTGTATCATTTTATTATTTCCTCCTCCGTGTCTTTGAGGTTGTGTGTCCTTTGATCACACCACCAAGAGAAGAGACTGAAGGACAAAAGATAGAATTCACTTCAGACATTTGATGATGGTTGGGTCTTGTTGTGGTTTATATTGTCAACAAATATATATTATTTCTCGAAGTTTTCCAGAGGTGCTGATAATTTCTTTTGTTTGGACATAAAATATTATCAAGTATGAGTCAGGATCTAGAGAATACCTGCTATGGATAATGTCTTCTTGTTTTTTTTTTTACAGTACTATGGAATAAATATTATATATGATACATTAGAAAGGTTATGAGTCACGTATTTATTATAGTTTATGTATGTATATTATTTTTATGAATTATTACAGCAGCAAAAACGTAGAATTTCACGAGTATTCACGATATTGTATTTTTTACTACTTTGACGTATAAGTTGATTCAATGGATTGCGTGTTAGAAACTCACCTCAAGTAAGGAACTGAAGCTTTTAACAGCCAGCGTGAAGCCTCGTGTTGGGGTGGGTGTCAGGTAGTGGTGGTGGCGGGGATTCCACTGTAAAGTTGTAGACGCGGCGGAGAACTTGGGTGTTGAGAAGCTCGGAACATATACCTGGAAATTAAAGTTGTCTAATTAACCTGATTATTCTAAAAAAATACTGCATTAAACGAGTGGTTAGTGGTGAATATTATATAATGTGTGTGAGAGAGGCTTATATTTTGACATCTTCTGGTGCTTGTTAGTAAAGGATAATGTATAAATGAGTGCTTGGTGTCACCCACTCTCTCTCTCTCTCTCTCTCTCTCTCTCTCTCTCTCTCTCTCTCTCTCTCTCTATATATATATATATATATATATATATATATATATTTATATATTTATATATATATATTTATATATACTGCTGTATACAGTATATCTTTCTCCTCTCTCACTCCTCTCACTTGCATTCTCAATTACCCTGCAGTGTGGTCTAACATCAACACAGTTTTTCCTTTACCGTGATATCATATTTGAACAAGCCAGTACACACACACACACACACACGCGCGCGTGCCTCTCGCCCTCATGCTCTGGAACCCAAAGTATAAACTAGGATATTCGCTCTCATCGCCGCTCGTTCGCCAGAGATGTTAGGAATCGCCATTATCGGTATATTCATTCGGGGTGATGTCAATTTGTCGTCTTTTCGCTATTTGTTCACACCGCCACCACCACCACCACCGCCCCCACCACCACCGCCACCACCACCACCACCACCACCGCCACCACCACCACCACGCCCCCACCACCACCACCACCACCACCCACCCACCACCACCCACCACCGCCACCACCACCACCACCACCACCCCCACCACCACCACCCGCCCCCCACCGCCACCACCACCACCACCACCACCACCCCCACACCCCCCACCACCGCCCCACCAATGCCACCACCACGCCGCCCCACCGCCCCCCCCCCCCACCGCCACCACCACCACCACCACCACCGCCCCCCACCACCACCCCCACCACCGCCTCCACCACCATCAACAGACACCATTGAGATTTTAGGCACCATCCTCACTTTAGGTCAGATTTGTGTAAGTCATGTGTGGTGTTGGGCCACTTCACCTCCTTCATCCGATTCATAAAAAAAGCATCACATCAGCTCAAACATCTCCACCAGAAAGCTCCCAGCAGCACACATTTCCAGGACCATCTCATCGTTCCCTCTGTTTTACACGCCTCTTCCTGATGACGTCCACCCAGTCCCCTCAACCAACCGGCGGCCAACAAGAGCTTCTGAGACAGCATTTTATTTTTGTTTTCGTCGGTGTTTCAACTTGCAGAATCACTTTCTACCAAAACTCATATCTCACCCGGACTATAGACCAGCACCGTGTGGAGCTCCCTGACCCTCACAATATATATTCCTGCATCATATAACCTCCAACAGCTGAAAACAATCTGCTAAAAAAAAAAATGGATCTCTGGTCAGGGGGACGACTCGGTGCCTCGGCGTAGATTGAAAAAAACACTTGTCTGATATCATCCTACGCTGTCTATAAAAAAAAAATATCTTGTTTTTATCCAAATTGGTGTGATAGAGGTAATATGTATTTATAGTGAGTTATTTAAGTGCATCTCTCATATTATCGGGAGGCATTGTGACATTATATTTTCGTCACACAATGAGGGTTGGAAGTTTAGTTCACAGTCGCGGAAAATTAATATTTTATACACACGGATAACAGTTACATTTCCCACTCAATTGATTCACTAACATTTATACTGTAGTTCTTGGAATCTTGCAGCTCTGTATCTTTCATCCTGACATGACCTGTAAACTGGCGCTAGAAATCACACCGTAACTCTTTCGTATCTGATAATGTGAACCTGTTCCCTTATCTTCAGTTAAGGTAAAAAATAAAGAACGTACGGATCTTTAAGGATGTGGCCGAGCAGTAACTCCTCACTTAGAGTCTTAGATTAACACACAGAATCTTTGCCAATGATTGTGTGTTCATTCTGCCCCAGACTTACCATAAGAGAAGGTATCTAATCAAAATAATCTCAGTATGATCTTAATGTTATATCTGGTGTTGTGTTTCAGTGTTGACTAAAGTTAATGTTGGCTGAAGTTAATGTTGATTGAAGTTAACGTTGGCTAAAGTTAATTAATTTGATACTTTGTTTTTACGCCTTTAGTTACGAGGAAGTTTCATTATAGGAACCTCTGAAAATCTCGACCCTTATCCATCACCAGCTAAACAAAGTCTTTTTAATAAGATTCTGGTGATTAGTGTGAGGCGGTAAGACGAGCTACCAGGCTGTAAAATTTATAAAAAAAAAACAAAAAAAAAAAACAATAGACGATCGACCAAACACAAGAAGGATTTAATGCTATCACAAGAGGGATCG